TGCACGTCAAAATATCATCTATGTCACTTAATACGGTCGTTTTGGACAGGGTGACAATACTGATGCTGTTGGTAGATTTGATTATGCCTTTGATTGATAAATTAAGACGAACGAATAAAGAAAAATAAGAGGATTGACTTACTTGATAGATTTCCAAGGCTCAACTGGTACTTAGCTTTCTCGTCTCCTAGTCTAAACCACTCATATTCGTCGTGAACGGATTTGTTAGCCGTTACTCCTAGGTCCACTCGAAGTCTGTTTTCTGTTTCATTTCTCGTCAGACGACGGATCTTGTCAAATCCCAGCCAAAAATCTCCTTTAAGGCAGTTGCCAAAGCCATGTTTGTAGTCATCCCAGGTGCGGTTGAAATCATCAGAGCCATCGAGTCTCCTTTGAAATACTGTCCACCCCCCACCAGTTGTTGTTTGGTCACAGTATACATCAAAAGCACCTGAACCGTCAGGGTCGATTGTATAGACGTCGCTGACTCTTATACCGGATGTGTACAACTCGGCACAGTTCTTGGCTGATGAGGAAAAACATGGTTTATCAGCTGAATTGCATAAGGACCTGCCGAGTTGAGTGGGTCCAAGGGTGGTTAGGATTTTTTTCTAATCTCTAATATCATCTAATATCATCACGGACTAACCGGCCCGGGAAAAGGAATGAAAAAGGTTAGGGTAGAAGAAACGAGATTCCATCATGTTTCAACCTGTGTTTTTTCTCCTCTTAGCGTGTCTTTCATTTTAGTTTATCTGACCAGGATAAGCGCTCTTCAAGAAATTTGACCTTATATTTGAACCTTTATCTTGAAAGGGTTTGAAGCGTCTCTTGGCTTTAATTTGCCGCTCTATTTTTTTTTTTCTCTTTTTACCAAAGCCATGTCTTTTTTTCTTCGGTAGAGGAGAGGGAAACTTGTTAACACTTTTTTCTTTAAGGGACATCTCTTGAATTTAGGAGATATTTCTAACCCATCTTCTTCCTAGCTTTGAATGTCGTCGTACAATAATACAATTTACACAATTGGCAAAACCTAATGACCTTTGTAAGTTTCATTCCAGACAAAGCTTCAAAAAATAACGGATATGATCATAACTGGATGCAAGGCCGCTTGTGCGTTCATAAAAAAGGTCGATTATTCCAAAAGAGAACTAATGAGTTCCCCTCTTACATTTTCTTAATGAACGAATATTAGCAACTTTTTATCATAGATTTTCTTGATGAAAGGATCAATACACTGCCCAAGAGATCCAAGACTACTACGCTTCACTTTTCAAATGTGCTCGGCGATTCGACTTTCATCGCGATTAGCTGNATCAGGGGACTTTTTACACAATAAACACAAGAAAATCCCCTGATGAGTGGGCGACCACGAAACAGGCTTGTGGGGATGAACTTGTAGTTTACTTGTCTTTTTCCTCCCACAATATATATATATATAGTTATATGTATGTGTATATATAAGCTAGGTTATAAAGATAAAGTAAAAAATAAAAGTATTTTTCTGTATCTTTCAGACAATCAAATGTGTTAGCAAAATATATTCGTGGCCGAGATGATTTAGGGAAAAAAAGTCCTAAGGAAAGTCGACTGGTCAGATTTTCATTTCTGATGTTTGAGGAGTGCTGAGTTCAGGGTTATTAGGAACTAAGAATCCCCAATGAAATGTTCCCTTTCCATCCTTTCGATAAACACCGTTGAGATTTGCAAAAACAGCACACCCATTGTTTATGTACCACCATCCTCCACCAATGTTCATGCGATCAGTGGGGGCACAATCAGTCTTATCCCACGTGTGAAAAAACTGGCCCACATGAGGGCGGAAAGAATCATTAACAGTCGAACTGTCTAAAAATGAATAAATAGCAGAATAAATAAACACAAATTAAATGAATTAAATACCACCTTCTATGTACTGTAAAGAATTACGAGAATATTGACTCGGTCAATATTCTTTTACTTTGACTTGGGCCAAGTGAAAATACGTGCGAGATTCGGTCCATAAAAACCCATAAAAAGAATTCGGCCAATATCTAGTCATCTGGACCGAACAAACTTGGCCAATTAGGATTCACTGTATGGCAAAATTATTTCACTTTGTTAAGAATCGAGAATGACTTGTTTATTTGGAGAGCCGAGGAAGATAGCCAT